TATTAAAGATCAAATAAACTCTGTTTTATTTACCTTTATTGTTTCTGTCTTAAAAGTCGCAAGTCATTTTATACAGAATATCAACTTTCAGATAGAAAAACATGGATATCTTTATAAATTTTCTTCAGGTGTAGGTTTTAAGCGTGCCTTTAAGTGAATTGAACGTTTACAGTTTACAGGCTACAGGCCACTAAAACATGATCTAGTAGCTCCTATAGATATAGGCACTTTTTAAAGTTATACGAAAATGGTGTTTATTTTATTGAAATAAATAATTATTTTAAAAAATAGATTAAAATCGTTTATCCTTTAGCTGAATACCGGCATCTTAAGGTAGAAGGAACTGGCTTTCTCTCTTCATGGAAATTACACACCTAACCTGTAAACAATGAGGGTTACTCTTAAGCTCCTGGGACTGTACGAGGAGTGTATGCAAGCAGGAGTAGAAGTGGAGCTTCACTTGTGGTTTAGAGGAGGTAATGAGTGGTTTACTCTATTAACCCTTAAAAAACAATGGTCCCAGTCCTCTAAACCCCGGAGAAGGAGAAGAAACGAAAGAGGTTTAGGAGAGGTGTGTCAGCTAAGAGGTCTAAAGAAAGGTCTGCTATAACCCCCTAGTCCGATGAGATGTCTGCTATAATCCCCCAGTCTGGGGAGAGGTCTGCTATAACCCCACAGTCAGAGGAGAGGTCTCCTATATCCCTCCAGTCCGAGGAGAGGTTTCATATACCCCTGCCGTCCGAGGAGAGGTCTACTATACCCCTGTAGTCCCAGGAGAGGTCTACTATACCCCTGCAGTCCCAGGAGAGGTCTACTATACCCCTGCAGTCCCAGGAGAGGTCTACTATACCTCTGCAGTCCGAGGAGAGGTCTACTATACCCCTGCAGTCCGAGGAGAGGTCTACATATACCCCTGCAGTCCGAGGAGAGGTCTACATATACCCCTGCAGTCCCAGGAGAGGTCTACTATACCCCTCCAGTCCGAGGAGAGGTCTACATATACCCCTGCAGTCCGAGGAGAGGTCTACATATACCCCTGCAGTCCCAGGAGAGGTCTACTATACCCCTGCAGTCCGAGGAGAGGTCTACATATACCCCTGCAGTCCCAAGAGAGGTCTTACTATACCCCTGCAGTCCCAGGAGAGGTCTCCTATAACACCCCAGTCCAAGAAAAGGTCTGTTAGATCCTAAAGACCATCTCTGTGATTGCTCCAAGTGGAAACGTGACCTCCTGTTATAACCCCCCCAAACGAAGAGAAAAACACAATCCCAATTTTTAGTTTCATCTTCTATTCCTCAACTTGACGGTTTCCAGCCTGAACTAGACCCTGCAATAGAACCAGATCCCTAAACTGAATTTGATACAGAGCCCACCTCTAAATATAAAAATCTCGGGTCTGACCCTGAACCTGTAGCTCAGTTCGAGCATGAATCAGAATCTGAGAGATATTTTCGAATTTTAAATTTTAAATTTATGTTTGTGATAATTTAAACCAAATGTGATCTATAAATGGTTTAGCAATAATTAATTATCATATACTTAAAAAAATCTTTTATTTCTAGAGTTTCATGTGCATGTAGTTCCACTGTTTGTATCGATATTGAAAACCTATTATGCAATATATGCATTATGCATATATTGCATATATGTAAAGAAATAACATTTTATCGAATTACAGAGAAAATGGATATTTTTATTTATACATGCCTTCTTCTTCTTCTTCCATCATTAGGGTTCACGGAGAACCTTTGTGCCGAGAGAGGGAGCTGCTGTACAGGACGGTCAGACAGGTAGTGTACATAAAAATGAAGAGTGTACACGGTTCTGTCTAGATTTGAATGTATTGTAAACATAATAATGTCTAGATGTGTACATAATAATATGTCTAGATGTGTATACATAATACTGTACATAATTATGTGTGATTGTGTACATAATACTGTACATAATTATATCTAGCTGTTGTATTTGACAGTCAGACAGGTAGGGTACGATATTGTACACGATTCTTTCTAGATTTAAATGTATTGCAAACATGATTATGTGTAGATCGTGTAGATATTATTGTACACAATTATGAGTAGATCGTGTAGATCTGCTGTTCAGATTATTCAACCTACTGTTCAGGTAAATTAAAGGATAGTTCCTGTTCACATCTAGCAGACTGCTGTTCAGACTATTCAACCTACGGTTCAGGTAAATTTAAGGATAGTTCCTGTTCACATCTAGCAGACTGCTGTTCAGATTATTCAACCTACTGTTCAGGTAAATTAAAGGATAGTTCCTGTTCACATCTAGCAGACTGCTGTTCAGATTATTCAACCTACTGTTCAAGTAAATTAAAGGATAGTTCCTGTTCACATCTAGCAGACTGCTGTCCAGATTATTCAACCTACTGTTCAGGTAAATTAAAGGATAGTTTCTGTTCACATCTAGTAGACTGCTGTTCAGATTATTCAACCTACTGTTCAGGTAAATTAAAGGATAGTTTCTGTTTACATCTAGCAGACTGCTGTCCAGATTATTCAACCTACTGTTCAGGTAAGTTAATGTGGCATATCCGATCTGCAACCTTTGACTGATGAATGCTGTTGGACTTAATCTTGTTAATTTACAAAAAATATTATTTTTTACTTTCAAGAAATGGCAGAAAATATTTTCTTTCGAATTTTTTTAATAAATTTTAAAATGTTTTTAACGTGAATTACAATTATTTGATATAACAGAATTCCCAGTTTAAAATATCTAAGGTCTACGACATTGATTTAACAGAATTCATAGTTTAATATATCTAAGGTCTACGACATCGATTTAACAGAATTCATAGTTTAAAATATCTAAGGTCTACGACATTGATTTAACAGAATTCATAGTTTAAAATATCTAAGGTCTACGACATTGATTTAACAGAATTCATAGTTTAAAATATCTAAGGTCTACGACATTGATTTAACAGAATTCACAGTTTAAAATATCTAAGGTCTATGACATTGATTTAACAGAATTCATAGTTTAAAATATCTAAGGTCTACGACATTGATTTAACAGAATTCATAGTTTAATATATCTAAGGTCTACGACATTGATTTAACAGAATTCATAGTTTAAAATATCTAAGGTCTACGACATTGATTTAACAGAATTCACAGTTTAAAATATCTAAGGTCTACGACATTGATTTAACAGAATTCACAGTTTAAAATATCTAAGGTCTATGACATTGATTTAACAGAATTCATAGTTTAGAATATCTAAGGTCTACGACATTGATTTAACAGAATTCATAGTTTAATATATCTAAGGTCTACGACATTGATTTAACAGAATTCACAGTTTAAAATATCTAAGGTCTATGACATTGATTTGCTAAAAAAATGGATTAGAAAATCAGACTTTGTGACAAAGACTTAATTTGTAGAATTTTGTGAATTGTTCCCTTGCTATTAATTTCTTCACTTTGATATATTAAATATATATAATGTTCAGGTTATTCATAACCAATCTATTTAAGCTAAAGAATAATATGTTTATACATGACTGTACTAAGTAAATAAAATAAATAGATATATTGTGTTTCTTAAAAAGTGTCGTTTTTCATTTCGTTACTAGATAGATATCAAAAGACAAATTCGTTTCGTACTTCTTCAAAACTATACAATTGTGAAACTATTTCAAAATAATGGATAATCCTAAAAGAAGACGTACGAAGTCTTTTCTCTATAAATACATTTGAGGAGCACCAAAGGAAAGCCAATGTGACCAGTCAACTAGGATGTTTTTAAATATTTTATATATCTTAGCATAGATTTAATAAAAAGTTGAAAAGTTGGATTCTTACTTCACTTTATTTGTTTTAAAAAAGACAGTTTTTCTAAAATACCCGTTTTCTTGGTTGGAAAGGAGACTGCGTTCTTCGTTCTTTTTGTATAATTAATCATTATCATGAACAACTTTTGAATATGTTTATTTTCAATTATGGTTTATCTATCAAAAGTGACTTGCCCATTTCTTTTACTGCAAGAAAACATACATTATCACAAATAAACACTTTGACGTCTAGAAAAACGACAATATCTCCCATATTTTGGATCAGATAAAGGTTTCAAGAGTACCGTTGTTAATCGGGAATTGCCATCTTTGCATGGTGGGTCACTTGAAATTACGCTTAAGAAAAGAACGAAAATGAAAATCAATCCAATATATATTTATATATCCTTAAGAGTTTTATTATCTGAGGCGAAAAATCAAAACGTTTAAATGTATCTCATAATTTAAACAATGGCCCACTCACACCAGAATTTCCGGAGTGGTTTATAAGTACTCTTTGCTTTTAATTTCTCTATGAGTAATATGTACCAGTGTATCCTTGTATATCTCATATACCAATGTATCCTACTGTATCATGGGTATTGGGTACTCAGTTTCCCATATGACTGATGCTCCATCCTAGAAACATCTTACTTAGACTTATTACTATTAGGAGAATACTGGAAACTAAGGGAGAAGTATAACCTTCTAGTAACTGATAACAGATTGGTTTTCTTAGTCAGAGTTCTTCATTTTTGGGTCCGGAACTTATTAATATAATTCAAATAAAGTGAATGTTCTTCTAATTCAAAGAGGGACATATACCGATTCACAACGACACAGTGTTTAAATCAGACAGATTCCTCTATTGTTGCTGTAACAGAATAAATATTCGAAAATAAAGAATTTCTAAAAAGAAAAAGCACGGATATCTCATTCTTGATTAAGCACAGCTTTTAAGGGTACCGTTGTAAATCATACATGCCACTAATACAAATTTGTCTGTAGTAAAATTACTACTATATTTCTCTTAAATAGGAATTATGTACTTCTAGTAATATACGTACTCCATGTAGATGTCTCCTTGTAATGTACTCCATGTATATGTACTCCTAGTAATGTACATCTAGTAATGCAATCTTAGTAATATACTCCTAGTAATGTACTCCATGTATCTGTACTCCTAGTAATGTACTCAATGTTTCTGTACTCATAGGAATGTACTCCAGTTAACTGTATTCCTAGTAATGTACTTCATTTATTGTACTCCTAGTAATGTATTCCATGTAACTGTACTCCTAGTAATGTACTCCATGTATCTAGGTGCTGTGGATAGTTCTCTGACTCCAGGAGAAACTTTTACCCTTGGAATACAAACAGTGGGGATAACTCAACATAATCATAGGTACAACAAACAAACAAACAAACATCCAAACAAACAAACAAACAAACAAACAAAAACCATATTTGTATCTTGAGGGAGGGGGTGCAGGGCCGCCATAAGCCAAGCATATCAACATCTAAACCACCGGATTTGCAGAATGACATCCGAACCCCGCACATCAATATTGTATGTTGCTATTGGCGGCCCTTCATAACACCTCCTCAACGACCTCAATAGAATTCTTCGTAAAAGAAAAAGATTAAAAAAATGATTTTAAAAATAAGGCAAACTCAATGTTGAAAGGAAAAATGCGTGAAGACATTGGAATATAAAAGAGGAAAAGAAGGATAGATTTATCAAATAAATTGAAAAAACTGAATAAGATAAGAAAGTACGAAGGAAAGAGAGAGGTTTGTTCCCTTTAAACTTGAACTCCATTAAATCTACTGTTAACTCAGGACTAGAAGAAGATTTGACGCCAAGATTGTCCAAACTTCAATATCTTGTAGAAACCTAGCCAACCCTATTCATAAAGGTAAATCAGGGAACTGAACAATTCTATTCATAAAATTTACTGAACAACTTTGTTCATAAAATAAACTGAACATTTCTATTCATGAATTTAAATGAACAACCCTATTTATAAAGTAAACTGAACAACTTTATTATTAAAGAAAACTGAACAACCCTATCCATGACTCAAACTGAACAGTGAACAAGCCTGTTTTATAAAGTAAACTGAACAGTGAACAACTCTGTTTTATAAAGTAAACTGAACAGTGAACAACCCTGTTTTATAAAGTAAACTGAACAGTGAACAACCCTGTTTTATAAAGTAAACTGAACAGTGAACAAGCCTGTATTATAAAGTAAACTGAACAGTGATTATAAAGTAAACTGAACAGTGAACAACCCTGTTTTATAAAGTAAACTGAACATATTTAATCATAAAGTAAAACGAAAAGTCTTATTCCTAAGGTAAACTGAATTAACAACACTTTTCAGAAGGTGAAATGAACAACTTTATTCATTAAGTAAACTGAGCACCTTCATTCCTTTTTAACTGAACAACCCTATCCATGAAATAATCTGAACAACCCTACATATATGTATATATATATATTGTATATGTTTATATATTGTAAGATAACAAACCCTACTCAAATATATGAAGGAAACAACTCTATTCATGAAACAAATAAAGTAATGTAAATAATATAAATATTTGTGATTTTTATATAATTGACATTGGTGGTTAATTGTTATTAAATTTATAAATCAGTCCCCCTAGCCCCCCCCCCCTCTGGTCCTGTTATTTTCTGTTAAAATAGGACAAGATAAAAAGGAGACAGTTTGGTATAAAAGAGATGAAGAATGCCATCTTCAATAAATGTTCACGGAGATGAGATTTTTCCAATTTTTGAACCACGTTGCAATATCCAGTAAATCTGTCAGGATGGTTTAGAATTTATATTAAACTCAGAGCAGGGGTAGATTTGTTCAAGGAGTGGGGTTAAGCTTCCCTTCCCCTTGAAGAAGTAGAAACTATAAGCCCCATCTACTGCATGGAATGTATAAAGCACAATATAATTTATGGAAAATTGTCTAACTCTAAAACGCGGAATGTCTACTGCATCGTTATACCACCGTTATACCAAAATGTACATAAAAACAAACTATAAATAATACTAATTTGAAAAATAATCGGTAAAATTTTCTAGGTTGAAACTTGAATAATGAAAATATTCAGGTTTTAAAGAGCCTGAGATGTCAATATTCTTAAAACTATCCTTGAAGAATCCTATTAAGCGTATTTCAAATTCAAAATTTAAAACAATATGCAGTAGATACACGATACAATGAAAATGGCCTTATTGTTAAAATATTTCATGTTTTTTACTCATTTTATCCTTCCAAGGAAGTATGGCGCGTCACATTTACCCTGTGTCCGAGCCACATTTCCCTGTATCCGAGCCACATTCATCAAGAATTCGAGAATATTTATTCTGTATCCGAGCCACATTTATTCTGTATTCGAACCACATTTATTTGGAATTCAAGTCTTTACCACAAACTTGAATATTCCATTCTCTTTATATTTGCAACCTGGCGGTTTAAAATTTGATATTTAAAACTTAGATTACATGATCTAACAGAGTTTATAGTTTGAAAAATCTAAGGTGTCTGACATTGGGTTGCAAAGATAAAGGTATTAGAATATCATAGTTTGTGGGGAAAACTCAATTCCTTTATCCAATAATTTACTGTCATTTTTGGACGGATTATTAATCGACTACAAGTTTACTCCTCAGAATAATTTTTTACACTCATTACTGAAATGCCTAAACTGCAGTTCACTTTAATTGTAAACAAAGATATAAGGGTTCCTGGTGTATTAACAATGTAGAGCAATATTAAAAAATTAAAATTAAAAATTTAATGCTATTTGAACTTCAATGGACTTTTTTCGATTTTTTACCGTTTTTCGGAACTTGGGCGTTTTGTAGTTGGGCGTTTTTTTGCATTGTGTGTTTTGCTGCATTGTGCGTTTTATAATTGGCTGTTTTGTATTGGGCGTTTTGTAACATTGGGCGTTTTGTTATTTGGCGTTTTGTTGTATTGTGTGTTTTGTAACATTATTAGGCGTTTTGTATCCACGCCAAAAATAATTCAATAAACTATTTTTAGAAACATGCAACAGTAATTAGGCACATTTACCTCACTAGAAGCGAATATTTCATTTAATGTAAATTGTCCCGTTTTGTCTTCTTGTTTCGTTTTGTTTTGTTTTGTTTTGTTTTGTTTTGTTTTGTTTTGTTTTGTTCTGTTTACAACTTTTTCTACCTGCCCTTGGAGGTGAGTCCTGTACTCCACGAACCAGAGTATTATACTGAAGTCTGCATTTCTTTTCATAAACCCTTTTTTCAAAACCTTAAAGGGACTGTAAGTGTATTTTCAAAACCTTAAAGGGACTGTAAGTGTATTTTCAAGTGACTCTCCATGCAGAGATGACAATGCCAGATTCACAACAGTACCCTTGAAACCTTTGACTGATCTAGGTTGTCTGACTAAACTACGAAAACACTTTTTTATTGTTGAACTCTTGTTAGCAAACTGTTGTAAGCTTTAATAATATTAATATTTACTCAGCAGAATTGGCAGAAAATAAAAATTTTCTTTCGAATTTTTGGAAATCACTTTTAATTTAAAATTAAATTGTTGAGTTTTCACACTGTACGCAGAGTACACCGCAGTTTACAGGAATTTAAGTGGTTTTCAAAAGATGTTTAAAAAATGTACTCGGTAAACAGCTTAAGGTTTAAAGGGTACCGTTGTAAATCTGACAGTGCCTTTATTTGCATGGAGGGTCACTTGAAATTACGCTTAAAGTTCCATTGAGACATGTGTGTTTCCTTTTCTCTGCTTTAAACATAATACCTGGTATTTGTAGACATGGAGGTATGTGTACAGACAGAATCAGGAGCTAAGAGTCCTCTGGGACTTTTTACACGGTTCAAGTTGGAGCGGGATCCTCCGCACAGAATATGCCGCGGCAAAATCTTCTTTTTGCGCGAGCGCAAACATGCTTGTCCAAATTTACATAAACTCAAATTGCTGTAATTTTAATCCAACAAATGTTTTTTACAGTATCAATTATTATAATACTCCAAAAAATATTTTAACATGCAATCAAATGTGATACAAAAAAAAATTAAAGGAATAAAAATTAAATTATTACTTAGTTTTAAGAAATAAATGCATTGGGTTTGCACCAGTGTTCAAAACAGTGCATTATTGCATGGCAATAAAGTTGCACTTTGCATTTTCCGGAATTTTGTGCAATTATCAACTTTTCTATTTCATCATTTAAACTTTAGTATGTCAGCAAATTTCAAATAGAATATTTTTTTTCCGTAAGTCATATTTTTAATATATAATCATTTATGTAATCCTATAGTGATTTATATTTTAAAATTTTATACACCATATTGTTTTTCAATATTATTAAGATAAATTCTATTTGACAGGAATTAAATTTCATCTTGGTGTTTATCCTAGTCCTAAAAGTTTCACTTTTATCGAGAGAAAAAAAGATAATAATTATTAATAAAAGAAGTAAGTTCTTTTTCTGAGACTAACTGTATCAAAATATATTTTTATAAAAGTGTTATGTATCCATTTAATGTGAAATATAGTTCTCCATATCCTTTAATGTCGGTTTAAAAAATGCTATTTGTATCGATCACATTCACGTTAAACTGACTATTATTATAGCAACGAAATGCATCTGAATCATATTTTGATCTTTTCTTCAAAATCCTTCCAAAATAGCGAAAAAATGACCTTAAATCCTTAAATATTCAAAAAAGCATAACCCAACAAAAAAGTACAAAGTAGTAAATACGGGGATGAGAAGTTAAGAACTAAAAGTAAAATTATTTTTTAAATCCCAATTCTAATAAATTAACATTTCTTATATAAATATGGTGTTTTTCTAAAGCTTTATTCGATTTTTTAAGGATGATATCACCAATTCAAAAATCCCGTTAATTCTAGGTTCAAAGTAATTTGAAAGGGAAATTGAGAGATAGTAATTAATGCGGACATGTGTTTCTTTTTTACTATCTATAATGTACAAAACAATTTTTTTGGCAACTCACAGGCATGTTTGTGGCTTCTCTAAATTGAAAAATGGTGTAAAAATGTAAATAGAAAAATCTGATTAGTTTACTTCAGTATGGAGAAAAATCGAGCCATGAAAAAAAAACCTCAAAGATTAATATTTAAAATTTCGGTAATGTTACATCGTCTATACGCAACATCCCCCTACTGAACTTCTGACCTACTAACTTTCCGACCTACTGCAATATCGAACCTACACCAGCTGATTATTTTTGTATTATTTGAGGGTTAGGTTAGGTTAAGACAATTGCTGGGCCGAGCGCTGCGGCTAGGACAGGCTAGGGGGCCGAGCACCGCGGCTAGGACAGGCTAGGGGGTCGGGCGCTGCGGCCACAAGTCCATTTAGCAGCTGTAAAACCACGTGCTTGTCGGTCAGATTTGTCGTAGGTCACAAGTGAAGTATAGCGGATTTGCGTAGGTCGAAAAATACACCACCAAAATTTCATTGTCTTTATTATCATTTGTGGCTATTGCAAGAATTTCTGATAAATCAAGTGAAATGTTTGTTCTACATTTCCTTTCTATACCTAGAATTATTGTGACCAAATTGCAAGCTCTGCAGCTGAGTTAATAAAAACATCCTTTTTAGTATTCTTGAGAAATTTTTCTTACTGAGGTTTCACAGAAAGGAATTTAACACTTGATATCATTTTAGAGGAAAAGAAGGTATAAAACAGTCGTCAATCAGGAAATTGAAAGTTTGAAACAAAAAGAAATGAAATTATATAATTCCAATCGGTTTAGCCGTTCCGATGTGCATTGAGAATAAGAACAAAGACGAATAAAATTATTTTGTTAATGTACTGAAAATAACTGAAAACTTTGGAATATTCCTTGTCTTAATTCGCTTAATTATTAAACATTTATTATTATATTTTTTAGATTGTTTCGAGCATATTTTATTAAAAAAGTTCTGCAGCGACATTTTACAACTGCAACGAAAAAATAAGACGGCTATATTGATGGGGCATCAAGTCCGTTTTTAAACATTTAACGCTTAAGGCTTCGTAGAGGATCTTTAAGAATCTGAATTGTAAATCACATTTCAAAATCGCATGCTTGCAAAATTACATAATGCTAGTTTTTTCTCTGACTAAAGATATTATAAACATTTTGAGAATGCAATTTTGCAATGTTATCTATATTTTGCTTGTCTGTCTGTCTGTTTGTCCGTTTGTATCCCATAAACGTCAAAACGGCTGAACCGATTGGGGCCAAATTTCGTACGGGACCTCACATAACCCCGGGGAAGATTACAGGACGCTGAAAGTTACAAAAATTACTCTCCAAAATTTTTTGGTTTTTGTAAAATTTTAAAAATGCGCGAAAAAGTATTATTAAATCCGCGAACTTTTTTGTTGTTATTAAGTTTTATATTGTACAAAGAGAAGATGCTTACAGATAGAGCCACAATTAAAAGTTGAAAAAGAAGATGGGGGCTAAGCGTCCTAAAAGTCTATTGCTATGTTTGATGTATGTTATGTATTGCATGTATTGAATAATAAAGTATATTGTCACAAATAAGAAAAGAATTAATATCAACTATATCGATATATTTATGTTCATATATATTTATTGTTCAGTCATTTAGGCATTTTGAGGCTCAATCACTAAGACAAAACCAATAAAATGACTTGGCTAAACACCTCTAACCACCTCTTGGCTAAACTATTGGAAGGTTATTTAATTGCGGAAACTTTCTAAACCGAATTAAAAATAAATCTTCACTCTAGAGTCCGAAATTTAAAAGAGTATCGTCGAACGAAACTCCCGAATGTCCTTTTTGAGATCTTAAGATTTTGTAGATTTTGATTCGACAAAAATGGAGAATATAAAGAAACTAAAAAAAATAGTATTTCATGACAAAAATATTGATATTCACAAAACTGACTAACCCCATTCGTCAAACCCGGGTTTTAAAACTGGTTTTAATAATGATACCCTGTCTTAAGTTTTGGGCTCAGATGTTACAAATGTGAACTGTAGGGCTGGGCGTCGTTCCTCAGGGAAAAATCGTTCTTTCACAGGAACGAACGGAACAAACTATTTAAAAGCCCTAGTGACACGCGTTTTCATTCGGAATAATCTTCACGTTTACTTTATTTAGTATGTCACACCTGCCAGCTCTGTGTTTAGCCTGTCACACCTGCCAGCTCTGTGCTTAGCATGTCACACCTGCCAGCTCTGTGCTTATCATGTCACACCTGCCAGCTCTGTGCTTAGCATGTCACACCTGCCAGCTCTGTGTTTAGCATGTCAAACCTGCCAGCTCTGTGCTCAGCATGTCACACCTGCCAGCTCTGTGTTTAGCATGTCACACCTGCCAGCTCTGTGTTTAGCATGTCACACCTGCCAGCTCTGTGTTTATTTATTTGAAAATTGGTTATAAAGGTTCCGCTAATAATTTTCAAAAAGTATTTAATGATTTATCAAAATCTTGCTGGCTTCAGAAAAGGTTTCGTAAATTTGCCCGTCAGAACCTCTTCATTATTGAACACAAAATATATCAAAGCTATAAATGCCTCTATAAAATCCTGCTCTATCTAGATGTTTAAATGGAGTGGCCGGTAGTGTCAATAGGTATGGTAATTGAACTGAGTCGAGATATTTATATATGTATATAAAGTTGTAATATTTGTTTGTTTGTCTGTATGTCTGATCATAACTTATGAACCCCGGAGCTAAAAACTTTAGAATGTGATTTCCTTAATCCCGATCGGTTAATTGATCTGAGCTGGGAACTTTTGGAAGATCGTGGATATCGGGATTAATGCTTGATTCACTCTTTCTTTATCTCTACGTTAAATTATGCTTGTTCTTTTTTTGTTTTTAATCTCCAGATTAACTAACCAATCGGGATTAAGGATATCCCATTCTAAAGTTTTCAGCTCTGGAGATTAATAACAAGAGGAGAACAAGTCTTATTTAATCTCGAGGTTAAGAAAAAGAGTGGATCAAGCATTAATCCTGATATCCACCATTCAATAGTTCCCAGCTCTGGATTGATTTGCCTAAAACTGGGGTTGGGGAAACAGACTCCACGACTTTAAAAAATTACACCTTAATGAAGAAAAAATTTCATATTTCATATATAATAAAAAAATGGGAAAAAAAATATTTCTGAATTTTTTACGAAGAACAAAAACTGAAAGTTATGAAAACAGAGGCAGAATTAAAGGAATTTGAGCCGCGACTTGAATTTTGAGACGCGGCTCAAATATGGTTGGTTCCACTTAAAAATTGTATTCAATGTTTCAACATTTAAGCCGGCGCTCAATTAAAACCGGCTTAAATTCATCAAATTCGGACTCAGTTTTGCATAAATGTAAAGAAAACAAGAAACACGAGTTCTACTTATTTTCTTAAACTTATTTCATTTCAAACTTCAAATTAGAATTTCCAAACTTTCTAAAATTCACTTGATTAAGTCATTTAAATCTAAATTGAATTTTTTTTTAAAATGTGCTGGGCCTTATCGATGCCTGAGTTTAAAGCTTATAAACATACTGAGACTTCCCTTAAAGGAACTGTAAAGCTAATATCAAGGGAACCTTCACTTTTATAGAGTGCATGTCAGATTCACACTGATGAATGAGATATCCTTGTGGTTATGGCTAAAAAAATGTTTAAGACTGTAGTTTCACTAGAAAAAAAGCACATGTGGATTTATGGTGTACAAACAGGTAACCGCCAAAAAAGTCATTGGAAAAAAAGTTTCCGGGAAAAAAGTCCTAAAATTTGACACTAAAAAGTCCTGTGGAAAAAAGTCCTTTTGTTGAAAAGTCTCCGAAAATAAAGTCCTACCAATTCGAGACTTTATTTTCTAGGACTTTTTTCTGGCTCCAGTATGATTTTATACAAAAAAGTCCTCGGAAAAAAGTCCTCTAACAAGTGAAAATGCATGATTCACAATTCTAGGTTTTTCTTTTCCTCGGATTTATTTTCTTCTCAAAACTGGGGCCTATTGTAATTTTCATCTTAATTCGTTCATAAAGTAACTACGCAAATCCTGTAATGCGATTAACCTATTCCAGGTTCGGTCGGTTTTATTTTCATTGGGCCTTTAAGTCGTGCCGAAGATCTTGCAACTGTCAATCACGTGACCCAAGCTTTCGTCAAAGTTGGGCCAACTTGTGTGAGAGCCTGGGATTCTGTTTTAGTGGATTTTAATAGGGGAAGGACCTGGATAGATACGTATTGAGTAAATTGTTATGGAGTAGGTATTTGCTACATACTCACTATCAACTAATACATCTCTCAGAGAAGA